GGTCAAGACCAGCTCCCCGCGAGACGACGCAGACATCGATCGTCACCGAGAAGATGCTCTGCTGGATGAATATCAAGCCCGCCAGCCGGGAGCTCTACGTACCTGGAAGCGGTGGCCAAGCAGTGGAACGAGTGGCAGAAGTACGGGTGCTGCCAGGTGTTCTCCACTGCCGAGACCGAGGCGGTCCACAATACAATCAAGCCGAATATGGGATTGCCCTGCCGTTTTCTTCACAGGGGCAAAAACGCGCCGCTGCGGACAGACAGTCATCCCTTGCTGACAAAAGCCAAGGCGAAGCTCTGCGTAGGAAGTCACCTGGAACCCAGCCTGTTCATTTGCAACGTACTACGGACAGACGCACCCACCATCACCCGTAACTCCACCATGCTGTTCTTCCCTCTCCGTCAGCGACTCGACCTGGAGACCTACGCGGCAGACGCAGAGGCGGCGTCATGCAAAGCGACGAACCGCTCGACCAGCAGCTGCTCATCTGGGTAGTCGAAGCCAATCTGGCGCCAATCTGGCAGGCCCAGTCTGGCAAACGCGGGCAATCTGGCGAGGGAGCCAACGCGAATCCAGTCTGGCGCATAACCCGAATCATCCAGTCTGGCCGGGCCAGAGGAGGAGGAGGAGGAGGAGGAGGAGGAGGAGGAGCTCATGGCTCAGCCTCGCGAGGTGCGACGTGGCTGGGACCCGAGGCAGCGTGTCGAAATCATCGAGGGCGTTTTCGGACTGGTCCCCCTCCTCCCCCTCCTCCACCTCCTCCTCCTCCTCCTCCCTTTCCTCCTCCCCCTCCTCCTCCTCCTTCTCCTCCTCCCCTCCTCCTCCTCCCCCTCCCCCTCCTCCTCCTCCTCCCCCTCCTCCTCCTCCTCCTCCTCCTCCTCCTCCTCCTCCTCCTCCTCCTCCTCCTCCTCCTCCTCCCACCGCCCCGAGGCAGAGGTGGGCCCCACTACGCCGCACGCCACTCTGGCCGTGGAAGGCCGACCTGCGCCAGAATTCCGCCCTCCGCCTCACCCCGCACTCCCCGGATCCGGCTCTTTGTGACACGGTTCCGCTCCGCGCGGAGAGCTGTGCGTGGTTGTGGCCGGCCACGTGGACGACGTGCTGCTGGGCGTGTCGCCCAAATACCCTACACCCTGCGAAATGCTTTAGAAATCATGGGCGTGTCAAAATCATCCAGGGCGTGTTCGGACTGGCCACCGCCGCCTCGAGGCAGAGGTGGGCCCCACCACGCCGCACGCCACTCTGGCCGTGGAAGGCCGACCTGCGCCAAAATTCCACCCTCCGCCTCACCCCGCACTCCCCGGATCCAGCTCTTTGTGATACGGCTCCGATCCGCACGGATCGGCTTTGGACAAACCTCCCTTTCGCAAACCTCCCTTTAGTGAAAACGGCCTGGGATCGAAACCGACGGACCTGGACCCGCAAAAATGACGGCCGCGACGCCCTCTCGCGAACCGACAAGGGCCAATTCCTTAATCGACGTGTCAGGGTAGGAGGTCTGTCCACCCCCGAGCGGAGAGCTGTGCGTGGTTGTGGTCGGCCACGTGGACGACGTGCTGCTGGGCGCGTCGCCCAAATATGAAGGGGCCCCAGGACACACAAATGAAGACACACAAATAAAAAGATTCCCCATATTTTCACATATGTTCTGGGTTTCTGTCTTCCCCCCACTTCCCATATTGTCCCATAACTTCTGGGGAATCGAAGATTCATTGTGTCTGTGTGCTTCTTTTCCTCCTGACAAATACCCTACGCAGCCCGACGAGCTCAACAAGCTCTTTGCCGTGAGGAAACCGGCGAGGCCTGCCGAGCGCGCCCTGCGGAACGCAGGCGGCGCGGCGAGACGAGGACGGGGTGCTACAACCACGACAGACCGAGCACGCGCAGCTCATCGAGGAGATCGCGCTCACCAAAACGAGCGCAAGACCGAGCCGACAGCGGATAGTACGCCGCCTGATTTCGTACAACCTCTCCGGGTCTCGAGCGGCTGCCCTCGTAGAAATAATCTGGATCTCGCAGCAGCAAGAAGCCCCCAAGCCAGTCCAAGAGAACCCCGACTCGCCGAAAGAGAAGTTCCAAGACGCCCAAGATGGCATCCAGACAACCCACGATGCCCCTAGGCCGCCCCGCAAAGCCTCCGAGAGAGCTCCCGAGACCCGGCCATGACCCCTGATGAAAAAAGAGGGGTCGGCGGATGTGGCGTAAGCATATAGAATTATCTGGATCTCGCAGCAGACGTGGCCATGGGCCAGCGCACGCAAAACAAGCCGACCGAACAGGACCTGCTCCAAACCACCCAGTTCATCCAGTTAGCGCGGAAGCACGCAGACGTCGGACTAGAGTTCCCGAAGCTGCACGGACCACTCTGCCTCGCGACCTACCCCGAAGCCAAGGTGCTCCAAGGAGATCGAGCCTAGACTGGCTGTCAGGAACCATCAAGCGAGATGCAGTTCTACGCTGGCAGCTGTGCAGATGTCGGCGGTGCACCCGTAAGGTTGCACTCAGATCACTCTCGGCGTGTTTGCTTCGCCTGAGGGGCCACATGCCCACCCAGAGGACATCCCGCCGAGCTTGACACCGCTCGCTCAGCTCACTGACTGTGCCAGCATGTACGATACTGCGCACATGGACGGCTACTCTAAGTTGTCTTCCGAGAGGCCGCTACTGCTCGACCCAGCAAGGAGTCCCTTGAAGCGGAGGACGGGAACGTTTCTTGTGGCAGACGACCAGCGCAGCCAGCTATCATTTTTTTTTCCGGGGCCCTGACGGACCAGCAGCTCGTTTCACCAAGCGATCCAACGGCAGCGCGATCAGAGACGCGCTGCGAGACAAACTCCTCGCTTCTCAGCATCAAGAATATACCGAATAGTGGCTCGATTTTCAAGCGCATGATGTGCGTGGACCCCTGGATGTACTTGAGTGCGCCTAACGCGCAGAATGTTATACGCCCGTCAACGCGCAGATCAAAACATGTCTCACGAGAGTGACATATACGTTCTCTGCGCTGACCTATGTGCAAAACGAGCGTCGCTGTACCATTCCCGTGCCGATTCGCATGGGAATTGCAGCACCCTCGTCCATAATCATTGCGGCCCGGTCGTTGAGCTTCGGCGCAGCGGGAGGAATTCCAACACGGCTCGCTTTGTACAAGAATTGTCACACCTCGGTGCTTGGGTTTATACCGATCAGGGCATCGAAACTTTGCAGCCACCATCGCTATTCCAAACACCTCTTGCATTTCTGGTTATACCGGGTGTGAAAGTGTGCTGCGGCATCGCCGATGTGTTTTGGCGTAATGAAAAGAAAAGATGTGTTCTTGCTTTTTGTTATATATATATACAAAACTTTTTGGGGCAGACGACTTTATATATTTATATATATAACACCCACAACCACAAAAAAGGGACCCCTCGCCCCCGCAATAGCGGGGGGGCAGGGCAGGCAGGCGGGGGGCTGACAATTCGGGGTTGCCTGGAAGGCCAGGGGGGGGGGGGGGCACGGGGCAGCGATCCAGGGCGCGGGGGCCAGGGGGGTGGACGGGGAAAGGCAAAGCAGGCGGACCGTCTGCGGCGACGAAGGGGACAGCTGTTCAGGGAAACCAAAAAGACCCTCGCCCGCCCCTTTCCTTTCTCGCGATCTGAGCCTGAGGGACGCGTCGTGAGGGGCCAGGCGCCCTTACTCGTTCGATGCGCCCCTCGTTCCTCGTGGCGGCGCCCAGGGAGACGATGAATGCGCGTGTGGCAAGGAGAGCGCAGGCGGGATATGGAGATAATGAGCCACGCGGCGGTTCCCGCTCGAACGCCCTCGTAATTGAGCAGGAAGAAGAAAACTTAAGAGGAGGAGGTGGTGGAGGAGGAGGAGGAGGAAGAAGAGGAGGAGCAGGAGGAGGAGGAGGAGGAAGGCTTACGTGCCACGTCGTGCTCTGCCATGCTACGCTTGGATCTTCAACGCCATGCTATGCAATGTTATGTTCGGGGCCGATGTGCGATGCCATGCTTTGCGTTGCAAAGATTTGTGATGCAGTTCTCACTACGCCACGCCACGCCACGCCATGCTGTGACATACTACGCTTTGCGGTGCTCTTTAACGCCATGCCACGCCGTGTTCTACAATGCATCGCGTACCCGTTCGGGATCATCGCCCTGCTCGACATCCGACTGTGCGAGTAGAGAGGGGATCTACGCCATGGTAAGGGATGGGAGGGAGGGGTCGGCTGTCACATATGACGCGAGCGCACCTAGCTTGTCCTCCCCCCTCCTCCTCTTCCTCCTCCTCCTTCTCATCATCCCCCACCTCCCAATCGCCGCGGCCGCCCGCAAGGACGACCGGCGGCCGTCCGCAAGGACGAGGACGATCAAGCGCCTCTTCGAAAACCCCTTCCCTCAACTACTCCCTAATTGCCCCGTCACCCCTCCGCAATCCTCCCCCCGCGGCCGCGGGTGATCAAGCGAGCGAAGGAGGACGAATAGAAAATCAGTTCCCCCAAAGGGGCAAAAGCAAACGCCGGGGGGCGGACGATTACAAAACAGTTTCCGGCGGCTGAATTCCACTAGTCCGCCCCACTCAATCATTTTGGGGGGTCCGGGGGTCTGAAAGATACGCAGGAGTAAGCTTGAGCAGCAGCTGTCTCCTGCCCGTCTGCCCTGTCCGTGCCACCGCCACCCTCGGCTCAAGGCGAGGGAGGGCGGGACTCTTTCTGACAGAGCCTGGCTGTGCCAGGCAGACCGCGCACACTACAGCGCGGCCGTTCATATCCTGGACAAAAGGTGTCCACCGACAATTATCAAGATAATTGACATCGTCACATACTTTCTCTTGCTCTTCCTCATCGTCACCAACGTGAACGATCTTGAGGACGAGCTCTAGTAATCAGATTGGTAGCGGAGCCTGTGGTCTCCGACAACCACGGGCCCCCACCGGTCTCGGCCTGAATGGCGACTACGGCCGCCAGCGGGCCACCTACGACGCGCGTCGACGTCCCCTCATGGAATGGCGAGGCTGACAAGTTGACGAGCTACAAGTTTGAGGTCTCCATGTTCACCAAGAGCATCAAGACTGCGGAGCGCTACGTGTGCGGCCCGCAGCTGGTGCGCGCCCTCGGGGCGCGAGTCCGGACGACGGTGGAGAGCTGCCCGGACATCGACACGGTCGACGAGATCGACAAGGATGGAGTGTTGATTGGTTGGAACAAAGTGTTTCAGTACGTATTGGAGAAGCTGGACTTCACCAGCCTGAATGACACGGGCCTCCTCGCGGAGGAGTTCTTCCTGAAGGTCAGCCGGAACTCAGGCGAGACCTTCCAGGACTGGGCCGCCAGATTTGAGAAGAAGGAGCGTGAGCTGTTGGCGCAGCTCCAAGTCATTGATTCCAGCGTGACGGAAGTGATTGCGAAGCCTCTTCGGACATGGTGGTTCCTTCGGAAGTCCAAGCTATCCCCTGTTCAACGTGGAGAGATCACCGCCACGGCAGGGGGCGACCTCAACTTCGGCAAGACATACAAGGCCTTGCTCACGCGCTTCCCAGCGGAGGCGCTGGCGGAGCTCGACGGCAAGCAGCACCGTAAGGCCTTCTATGAGGACACGCACGTCGACGACGGTGAGGACGAGACTGGTGGGGAAGATATTGATTTCACAGAGGTTGTCGAGCAGCTGATCACCCTCGCTGAAGAAGATGAAGATGAGGAGCCAGCTGAGGACAACCCAGCGGACAACGAGGTGTTCGCAGAGTTCAAGCAGGTGGGCCGGAGCTTCAAGGACGCTCGCGACCTGATCCGACGCCTTCGAGTGTCCCGCGACTACTACCCGGTCGTGTCGCTCAAGGACCCCGATCGCGTGGCACCGCCTCCGAACCCGGGACGAGGCTTCCAGCGTGGCCGGGGCAAGAACGGTCGAGGCCGCGCTCGCTTCGACACGGGCAAGGGACGTGACATGTCCAAGATGAAGTGCATCGCGTGCGGCGAATATGGTCATCGAGCGGCAGACTGCAACGAGAGGTTCAAGAAAGATAATACGAGAGATGGAGCTCGTGGGACTACTCACAACGGCTTCGTCCTGTCCGCCCTCGACGAGTACCTCTACCTCCTGGAGCGCGACGGCATCTGGGCGATCCTCGACATCGGGGCCACGAAGAGCCTCGGCGGCCTCGAGAGCGTCGAGAACCTCATGTACGAGATGCTGGACCAGCACGGCCAGGAGTTCGAGACGACACATGACGAGTGCTCATTCACCTTCGGCGACGGCCTCCAGAAGAGCTCGATGGGCACGGTGAAGGGGAACGTGTTCCTCGGCGGCGACCTGACCGAGGTCAAGCTGTCGGTGATGCCGAACCGCGTGCCGATCCTCCTGGGCATGGACATTCTGACTGACTCGCTGAAGGTTGTGGTCGACTGCGGCCGGAACTGGATCGGCCTTCCGACCATGGGCAACAAGGTGTTCTTCTGCGAGCGCCTCTCGAGCAACCATCTGGCCGTCAACCTGACGACGCCGCAGTGGTGGAAGGAGGTGCCACTTTCCTTGCCGAGTGCCGAGTGCCTGACGTCCGAAGCGACGGCGCCCGATGTTCTGGTCGAGGAGCTGCCCGAGGAGGCCGCTCCGTGCAGCTGCTGCCCTGCGGCACGCTAGGGACAGCGCCCCCTGATGATGGCAGCAGAAGAGAAGTTATCTCGATTGTCAACTTCATCATCGGGGGGGCCACACCGACTCGGTCACCGCGAGTTCGAAACACCTACCAGAGCGACGGAAACTTCGGCGGCGCGGACACCTACCAGAGCGACGGAAACTGCGACACGGAGCGGATCGGCTCGAGCGACGGAAACCTCGATTTCGTTCGGACGGACGGTCAGGTCATCCGACCGGCTCTCTTCATCATCACCGTCGATCGGGACATCATCACAGTCAAGAGGACCGTTAGCAAGCAAGCTTCAGGATCAAAATATGGAAAAGCAAAGCGATGAGCCAGCACAATACCATCGGTGTTCATCATCATGCTGTTCGCAGCCACCTTCGGCTCAGTTCATCAACTCGGCAATAGCCACAGCCAGCAGTCTTTCACGACCTCCATATTCTTCCCAGGCCGCCACTGGCCGCTTGGATGACATGCAGCGACGGTTCTTTGGCTGGGCAATCCTCGGAGCAACAGCCGCCACCTGTGCCTGCGGCCCGCCCCGAGTGGAGCCGCCCTCGCACGAGGGGATCGACAACTTCGGCTCCAGCGACCCCGACGCCAACATCAGCAGCAACACCAGCTATTCCAGCGCCACCAGCGAAGTGGTACAACCCAGCGGGGAAGTGCGGCTGCTGTGGAGCTCTGGGGAAGACCAAACGCGGGTGCAGCTGCTTCGGGGGCAAGAGCCACCAGTGCATCAGGACCCCACAGCAGGGAGCACCCGGGACACCAGCAGCGGCATCAGCAGCGACAGCCAGCAGCGCCCCACCGAGTCCAGCGGGGGCTCAGCCAGTGACGAGACCTCCGAAGTCCGCGTGCTCCTGCTGCGGGACCCTCGGGAAGACGATTCGGGGGTGCAGCTGCCGCGGAGGCAAGAGCCACACGTGTACGAAGGCGACGGAGGTGACCATCCGGGAGCAGGCAGTGGCTCTACGCTGGCGGCGCCTGTCCTACAAGCTGAACTCCCCGGAGATGCAGGGGGGCTGGAAGTTCACTCCGGAGATGCTCGACGACTCGGAACTGCCGGAGATGGACTCGAAGAGGAAACGCTGAAGCATCTCGACGACCAGGATCTCAAGATGTTCTACGAGAGCCACGACAAGGTCCTGGACGAGATCTACCAGACCATCGCCGAGGACCTGACGGAGCTCGGCAGGCCCTACCGCATCGACCTGATGGAGGTGTGCTGTCCGGAGGACTCGAGCCTCAGCAAGGCCGTGCAGGACCAGGGAGGCAAAGTGTTCAGGTGCGGCCTCTTCAATGGGATCGACATGGGAACGGCAACCGGGCTTCGACGCGCGCTTCACCTTCTCCGACGACTCCGACCGCGCCGCTTGGTTCTCAGCCCGCCATGTACAGCAGACTGCCCGATCCAGAATCTCAACCAGAAGACAGCTCAGCAGAAGGCCACGTATCTGGCGAAGGTGCGCAAGGCCCGACGGATCCAGCGGAACTGCAAGAGCCTCTGGGAAGACTCGAAGAAGATTCACGACTGCCACACCGAGCTCGAACAGCCAGCTTCCAGCCGAAGCTGGACCAGGTCGCCCTCGATCAAGGCGATGCGCGACCAGATGCACGAGACGATCATCCATGGCTGTGCGCATGGACTTCGCGAAGCTCGTTCCGGCCTGCTGATGAGGAAGGCATGGCGCATATGCTCGACAGACCCGGAGTTCGGCGCTAAGCTCGGCAGGACGTGCTCCAACCGCCCTGGCAGGGGCGACAACCACACACACCGCCCCATCGAGGACGGACAGGTGGTGGCCCAGACGGCCTTTTACCCACCAGCACTGTGTAAGGCCTGGGCAAAGCATATCCTGAAGACGAACACCAGCGCGAGGTACGGCAAGGAGATCTTCACCAGCTTGGAACAGATCCCAGAGGACGCTGAAGAGGAGATGGAGGAGGCCCTCGACGAGGACCTCTTGCAGGATAACCCCGAGGCCATGGACGACGAGTCGGTCATGAAGGGCCTGGGCATCTCCGAGACGCCGACCAAGAAGGAGGAGCTGGAGATAGAGCAACGGCTGACGCGGCTCCACCGCAACCTCGGCCACCCGAGCAACAAGACGCTGTACAAGATCCTCAAGGCATCGGGAGCACCTCTCCAGGTCCTACGAGCAGCTCTTCGCCTCCAGTGTCACGCATGCCATGCGGGACAACTACCAAAAGCCGTCAGGGTCGCCTCGGGCATCGAGTTGCCAGGCGCCCTAGAGGCATTGGCCTCCGAGGGGCTCGAGTGGCTCTCGCCGAAGCAGGACCTTTCCTGATGACGTTGAACATCGACGAGGGATCCGGGCTCACCAGTGTCACCTATCATGGACAGAAGGGAGAGCGCAATGGCAACATATCGACTCAGGAGGTGATTTCAACATGGAATGACTGGTGCGGGCATTACCGCCGCCCCAGCCTTCTCCGTCTGGACCCCGAAGGTTGTCATCGTTCACAAGCAGTGGCCAGGTGGTGTTCGGACCGCGGCATCGAGCTGTGGATTGCCCCGGGCGAGGCCCACTGGCTGATGGGCAAGGTCGAGAGGCGCATCCAGCTTTTCAAGCGATTGATGACGAAGCTGGCAACGCTGGACCCCGACTGCCCGGTCGAGGAGTTGGTGTCCTGGGCCGTGAGCGCGATCAACAGCATGGACAAGGTCGGCAACCACTCCCCGTTCGAGCACGTGATGGGTGTCTCTGGGATGCCGGCCTCGAGCAACCCGTTCGCCATCATTGACGGGGACACCGGGGAGACTCAGGAGCAGAGGCGCCTCCTCGCGCGCAAAAGCTTCCTGGAAGTAGAGTATGCTGAGCGTCGTCGACACGCCGAACAGGCCCGCAACCGGGTCTATCAGACCTGGAATCCGGGGGACCTCGTCTACTTCTGGCGCAAAGGGAAAGGCCTTGATCCTCGCCCTGGGAAGAAGGGCGGATGGCACGGCCCTGCTCGTGTCCTTGCTCAGGAAAAACGACACGTGGACGGGCGCACCCGTCCTACCTCGGTCATCTGGATCTCCCACGGGAGCGTGCTCATCAGGTGCGCCCCGGAGCAGCTGCGCGTCGCCTCGGAGGCAGAGAAGATGATCGTCGAACTGCAGCGGCAGAGCAACCTTGGCAAGACCATGACGGAGATCTTGGAGACAGCCAAGGGCGGTACCTATGAAGACCTTCTCGGACAAAATCCTCCAGACCTCCGAGAATACGAGCCTCCTCCGCAGCCAACGATGGCGATCCCCGCGACCGAGGGCCAGACTCTCGAGAACAACAGCGAGGCGGGACTCCCCTCAGGCGCCGACAACGACACACCCGGGGCTCCTGATTCCTCCAGGCCACCAACACCAAGCTCAGCGACGCAACCTGAAGTGGAACCGAGTGAACCAGATGTCCGACGGTCCCGGTCACCACCGGCTCGTGCAGCTGACCGGTCAGCAGCCCCATCACGAACGCCAGGGAAAGCATCTACCTCAGCGGCAGTCAGGACGGAGTCTCGAACAACATCGCGTCCGCCTCCCGCGACCTCGACCTCATCGGCGGCCGGTGCCGCATCCCGAGGCGAGTCGAGACCTCGATGGCGCATGTCACACCGCGGACCAGAGCTCGATCTGTACGCACCGCCGGAGAAGCGACAGAAAGGCGCAGACGAGGATATGGCCGACGCGCTGTTCGACAGCAACCACCTGGTCGACCTCTTCAAGGACAAGCTGGACATCACCCTCGGCATCGACGAACAGCAGACCGTCTACTTTGAGTACTTGCAGGACGAGATCACCACTCCAGACGGACGCCGAGGTTTGATGAGCCACATCCTGGACAGCTTCGTCGTCAACCAGCGCCGGAAGGACAAGGTGGAGCTGACCTGGTCCAAGATGAACGCCACCGATCGTGAGGAGTTCGAGGCAGCCATCGCCAAGGAGACGAACAACTGGGTCCAGCATCAGGGACTCCGCGCTGTCCCGACATCTCGGGTCAAGGACGCGGCGGACGTCATCCGGGCAAGGTGGCTCTTCACCCGCAAGTCCGATGGGAAGGCGAAGGCCCGGCTCGTCCTCCTCGGCTACCAGACGAAGGACCTAGGACAGGAGCCGACAGCCAGCCCCACCGCGTCTCGGCGCGCCGGTCACGTGATGCTAACAGTGGCCGCCGCGAACCGCTGGAAGCTCATCAAGGGCGACGTCACCTCCGCCTTTCTGCAGGCCCACGACCTCGACAAGGACCTCTTCATCGAGCCAGATGCCGTCCTCAGAAAGGCCTTCCACGTGCAGGAAGGGGAAATCCTCCAGGTCGTGAAGCCTGGATATGGGATCGGCGAGGCGCCCCGGCACTGGTGGGAGACGGTCAAGCACGACTTTGCGAAACTTCGACTCCAAGCCTGCGAGTTGGAGCCCTGTCTCTGGAAAGCACGATGTTCCAGGACGGGTATGCTCATCGGTATGATCATGGCCCACGTCGACGACTTCATCATGGCAGGAGATACCTCCCACCCTGAGTGGCAGGGCATGGTCAAGCAGATCCGAGGGCTCTACAAGTGGGGCACCTGGGAGGACATGAATGACGGGCTCACCTCTCTCGAACAGTGCGGCGCCACCATCGAGGAGAGCGAGCAGGGCTTCTTCCTACACCAGAAGTCGTACATCGACAAGATCAAAGAGGTCAAGGCGGCCAGCGGCAGTAAGCATCGGACCACCGACAGCCTCAAGGACTCTGACAAGACGATGCTCAGGGCGTTCTGCGGCGAGATCTACTGGCTTGGCGTGAATACCATGCCATTTCTCTTATCGTGGGTAGCCGACCTCCAGATGAAGATACCAGCAGGTACTCACAACCTCTTCACGGCTGCTAACAACATCGTCAAGCTCGTCAAGCAGAGCCGCCACATGGGGATCAGGATCTACCGGCACGCCCTGGACGACCTCGCCATCTTCACCTGGTGCGACGCAGCCTGGGCCAGCCGCCCGGATGGACACTCTCAGGGTGGTCATATCACCGCTATCTCCTCCAAGGCGGCCATGGACGGGAAGCTCTCCGAGTTCACGGTCCTCGACTGGGGCTCCAAGAAGCTGCGCCGCGTGGCTCGGTCAAGCCTGGCGGCGGAGGTGCAGGAAGCCGGCGACGCCGAAGGCGAACAGAGCATGGTGCGACTGGTACTTGCCGAACTTCTACACAATATGTCTCCACTGCAAGATACCGCAGCAGCACTACGACGATTACCAGCCATCCTGGTGACGGACTGCAAGGCCTTCTACGACGGCGTGGTGCGATCTCAGTCGGCGGGACTGGGACTGGAAGAGCGGAGGACAGCCATAGAGGCTTTGGCTCTCCGCAATGCCTTGGACGAGGGTCAAACGGTCGTGCGCTGGGTTCACTCACACGCACAGATCGCCGACGGCCTAACCAAGGCAAGCTGGCAGGCATTCGGAGTGGTCCGGGCCTTCCTCGAGAAGCAGCAGTGGCGCCTCATCTACGACGAGCAGTTCATGAGCGCTCGCAAGCGGGCAGCTCTTGGCAAGGGCATCTTCGACGAGACGGACCCGACCGACCCGGCCTCAGCTCGTCAGGTACTCGAGGAGCGTAGGTTGGCCCGCCAGGCACAACCACCAGCCAGCATGGAAGGGAACCCTTCCAGCTCGACGACCCCTACTGGGTTCTCAGCCTCCGAGTCCCTGATCATGATCCAGAAGTTGCAGCAGGAGATCGAGGACCATCAGAAGTTCGCCCAGCAGCACACACGGAGCGCAGATAGTGCCTGTGCGCACGGTACAGGGCAGAACCTTTTTCCCCCTGTCTGAAAGATACGCAGGAGTAAGCTTGAGCAGCAGCTGTCTCCTGCCCGTCTGCCCTGTCCGT